ATTCTATTCTATTCTATTCTATTCTATTCTATTCTATTCTATTCTATTCTATTCTATTCTATTCTATTCTATTCTACTCTACTCTACTCTACTCTACTCTACTCTACTCCAACCAAACACACCTTTTTTTTAGAATAGTGCTGCAGCTGCAGATCGTAGCATTCAATTATGGGGAAAGTTACAGCTGCTCTAAGGAGTTGTTGGTAGACACTGGGGTGGGGGGAGAGCAGCTTGTACATTCAGAAGCATCGGGCTGCATCGTCCTGAGGTCTGATCCAGCCACTTTTATTATATTCTGAAAATATCTTCACTTAGGAAAGGCACTCTCGAGAGCTTTCTGTTCAGGCTTCCCCTTGAAAATCACTACCTCTAATCTCCTAAATGCTGCTGCTTCCTTTTTTAATTAATTAGTTATTCATACTTTTATTTGTACAACCCACTTATGTTCCTGCTTCCTATTCCCCCACTCTCCAAACCCCGCCCCCCAAATCTACAATGTGGATTGGGCTGAGAATGAAGGAGTGGCCACAAAGTCAGTCAGTCACCCCATTTGACTTCATGCTAAAGAGAAGATTAGTCATCATGGCTTCCGGTTCTAGTCCAGCACTTTAAACATTAAGCTCAACTGGGCTCTCAGCTTTCAACTGACATCCTTACTTCAGGTCAAATAGCAGCTCTAGGTAGTTCTCAACCTATAACCATAGTTGAGAGCCCCACATTTCCACTGCTAAACAAAAGACTGTCATGAAGTGAATTTTCCCTGTTTATGAATTTGCCTTGCCACAGTTGTTGCTGTGAATCCCTGCAGTTGTTGTGTTAGTAACACGGTTGTTTAGTGAATCCAGCTTCCACCCATTGACTTTGCTGGTCAGAAGGTTGCAAAAAGGGCACCCGTGACCCCGGGATACCACAACCGTCATAAATATGAGTCAGTTGCCAAGACCACAAATTTTGATCACATGACCCTGGGGATGCTGCAATGGTCATAAAGGGGGCCAGACGGTCGTAAATAACTTATTTCAGTGCTGTTGTAACTTTGAACCAGAGGTGGTATTCAGCCAGTTCTGAACCAGTAGTGGAAATTTTGAGTAGTTTGGAGAACCGGCAAGTACCACATCCAACTGGTCCCGCCCCATCTATTCTCTGCCTCTCATTGAGTCCCAGCTGATTGGCTAGGTCTTCTCTGGTTGCCTGCACAGGAGAACGGAGCTGGAAAGCAGGTTAGTGGGGTGGGGAGGTAATGGGGATTTTGCAGTAACCTTCCCCTGCCACACCTGCCAAGCCACGTCTGCCAAGCCAAGCCATGCCCACAGAACTGGTAGTAAAAAAAAATTGAATCCCACCACTGGGCTGATCTTCATCAGAAATAAGTTTGGATTGGGTTGTTTTCTTTAATTTCCCAAAAGCAAAGGAGCTACTTTAAGCATGAATATTACTGCATTTTGACTCTTTGCCAACAGAGTTTACAAAGAGCCATCATCCTGCTTGCAACCAAAAAAAGGTTTAACCTATAGCAGGGTTTCTATAAATTAGACCACAAAGCAAGAACTGGAGAAGGAAAGTGCATATGAACTCAGATATATTCCTGGTAGCCAAACTGTAATTAATTATAGCATCTAAATTACCTGCTGGTGACCTTCTACTGCTGCACCAGAAACTATTTTAACTTACTGCACCTGTGTATGGTTTGCCAATTGCACAGTGGCAGATAGGACAGTGCTCCAGAGGGTGAACGTTAAGCCCAGAGGATCATGGGTTGCCCTCTCCCCTCTTTGGAAGAGCTTTATAGCTCCCGCTGCCTTAAGAAAGTTCAAAACATTCTTAAAGATCCATCTCATCCTGGACACCCTTTTTTTGAACTATTACCATCTGGCAGGTGGTACAGGACAATAAAAGCAAGGATAAATAGGCTGAAAAACAGCTTCTATCCCATGGCAGTAACTAAACTGAATTGTACTGTATAGCGTAATATTAATGCAATATCAGGGATTTTCAATTCAAGTGTATAGAATGTGAAGGATGTATGTTTGTGTTTTACTTTTTATAAGTTTTTCTTGTGTATGATGTACACTGAAGATGGCATTTAATTTCGTTGTACAAGGTGCAATGACAATAAAGTACTACTACTACTACTACTATTAGGCTTTCGTAACTTCTCTCCAGTTTATAGATTCAGGTTAATTTTACTTAAAAAACGTAAGATAAGAAACTCAGCAGAGGAGATATCAAGGGCAACTTACCCACAGGAATATTCTTGCCTTGGATTTTATCTGCCCATCCTGCATAGTATCTCAGGGTTTTTATGCAACCTTCAAGGTCAACAAAGAAAGCTTGGAGGAACGGTTTCCCAGTGTCCAAAGTTTCCAGGGTCTGAAAGCAAAAAAGAAACAAGAACATTTTATTTGAAGTTTACACTTTGAGCCAATCTCTACTGGGAACATATTTTCCCAACCAAATCTTTTGTGGAAACAATGGGATGGCAAGAATCAGTTGGTCAATCAAGTAGGTTGGAGGGACCCTATCTGCAAATCCTTTTCTGTCCCCACAAAGTCTTCCTGGAGGGACATTTCAATCCCAGTTGTATTGGCTTTGCTCAAGAGTCCTGAATGGGAAAACTTGAAGATTACAGTTGCTTGAGGTGCTGGAGGTTCCCTCTTCTTGAAAGTCTCAAGTGATGAAGCTCCCACAACTTCTGAGGGCAACTTCTGTTCCATTGGTTGATTGCTCTCACTGTCAGAAAGTTTCTCCTTATTTCCATGTTAAATCTCTCCTTGTTCAGTTTCCATCCATTGTTCCTTGTCTGGCCTACAGGGGCTTTAGAAAATAGCTTGACCCCCTCCTCTCTGTGGCAGCCCCTCAAATATTGAAACATAGCTATCATGTCTCCCCGGTCCTTCTCTTCACTAGACTAGCCATACCCAATTCCAGCAACCATTCTTCATATGTTTTAGTCTCCAGTCCCCTCATCTTCCTGATTACTCTTCTTTGTACTTTTTCTAGAGTCTCAACAACTTTTTAATAGTATTGTGACCAAAACTGGATGCAGCATTCTAGGTGTGATCTTACTAAGGCTTTATAGAGTGGTATTAGTATCTCACTTGATCTTGATTGTATCCCTCTATTAGCTTTTTTGGCTGCTGCTGCAAACTGCTGGCTCATATTTAGCTGGTTGTCCACTAAGACTCCAAGATCCCTCTCACAATTACAGCTATTCAGCTTGGTTTCACCCAGGCTATATGTGTACTTTTGGTTTTTCTTGCCTAAGTGTAGGACTTTACTTTCCTCTACTTTGAATTTCATTTTATTAGATATGGCCCAGTGTTCTAGTCTATCAAGATCCATCTGGATCTTGAGCCTTCCCCATGCATGCTTTCTATTACTAATAGAAGAAAATATATTGTATGTAGTTGAGGGTCGAACTATGGGAATCCTTTATGCTCTCTGAGTTTGGCTATTTGCTGGCAGACATTTTATAGAAATAAAGCCATATTTACTCACCATTCAAATGAGACAGCAAAAAAACTAAGAAGGAAACAAAAAAGACCAAAGCACATCCCATGCAACAGCCAACACTCAGATAAGCAGGGATTAACACCAGACAAATAATCCAGCAGAAAACAAAACAAAACAAAAAGGAGGAACTATAAAGTTATAGTTAAGGAACTATAAAGAAGAAAACCACAGTCCCACCAGATTGGCAAGTTAAACTACTATATATAAACAGAGAGTAAAGCCCACACTCATGAGTATTAGTGAGATCATGAAGTTGGGTAATGAAACATCTGCAAACAACCAAGCTAGAGAGAACCAAGGACTGCACATGTTTCCTGTTAATTTGCTTCCTGCATATTGTTCTGAAAAACTGAAGATGAAAGTCATCCAGGTCATGGTTGTCCAAAGGTGCTTTTCCAAGACGCAACTGGACTTTCTGGTTTTCCTTTGAAGACACTTTGCTTCTCATCCAAGAAGCTTCTTCAGCACTGACTGATGACCCCACCATCCAGTCAGAGCTGAAGAAGCTTCTTGGAGGAGAAGCAAAACGTCTTCAAAGGAAAACCAGAAAGTCCAGTTGGCTCTTGAAAAAGCACTTTTGGGACTGAAGTTGACATTTATGGCAATAACAAGGACCTTCACCATCCTGCTTATTACTAAATTTTGTTCTCTTGCCTATACGATGGAAGCAAAGAAGTGTAATCTTCCAACCTCCTTTTAATTTCCTGCCCTTTCTAAACACCACCAAAGATTGATAGGTCAATAATGGAGCAAGAAGCTCAGGGTTAAATGGGATACCCCAACCCTTCCTGGTTGATTCTTCACACCCTGATGGTGCACCAGCTTCACTTACTGCCAACACCTCCCTATCTCGTTCAATCAGGTCTGCCAGTTTATTGAGAAGTCTTCCCCGGCTGGCTGCATCCATTTGTCTCCAGACAGATCCACTTTGGAAAGCTGTTTTTGCCGCTTCTACCGCTTTATCAATATCAGGCTACAGGTAAAGGTAAGAAAGAAGAGAGGAAAACATCATTAATACCACTGAAATATAAATGGGTACAACTATTCCTGGAGGGAGAAACCCTGAATATATAAGAGGAAAGGTCAAGTATGCTAAACAGTCAACCATCACAAGAATTATCATATTTCTATTCTTTCTTTGGGAACAGAGGAATGGTTTCTGGTGTCAATGGTACAACAGAGTAACATTCACAAATAAGTACTTGTTGAAAAGAAAGCCCAGGCAATCAGTAGAATTTTGATTAGATCATCATTTGCAGCTCTCCCAGTTGGCTTTCAATGATCAAATAGGGGAGTTTGGATTTGGTTAGCAACCAAATGATTTGCTTAATAACTGTATTTAAAAGGTTGTAAAAATCAGGCAGAACTCACGTAACACTGGCCTTGCTTGGCAGCATAAATTCTTCTCCCAACTGAGTTCATAAGTCAAGGACCACTTGTAAAGCCACAATGCTACTTTGGGTTTAGAGCTTTCTGCAAATCAGCCCAATGAGGCTCAGGGTTAGATCTTACCTTAGCTCTACAATCTGTTAACTATGGTTTTAAAATGCTTAGAATCTGGCAATGATGCACATTTTGAATAGGAATACCAAAGAAAGATAATAGGAATAGGAAAGATAATAGGAATAGGAAAGATTAGAATAGAATAGAATAGAATAGAATAGAATAGAATAGAATAGAATAGAATCAGAGTTGGAAGGGACCTTGGAGGTCTTCTAGTCCAACCCCCTGCTTAGGCAGGAAACCCTATACCATTTCAGACAAATGGTTCTCCAATCTCTTCTTAAAAACTCCCAGTGTTGGAGCACCCACAACTTCTGGAGACAAGTCGTTCCACTGATTAATTGTTCTAACTGTCTGGAAATTTCTTTTTAGTGCTAGGCTGCTTCTCTCCTTGATTAGATTGTTAGATTGAACTTCAACTTTGTAGATTCAACCCCCAAGCCCAATGAACACTATGATGCAATACTAGATTTTCTCAAAACTGATAGATTCCAGCTACACTGGAGCACCCTTTCAGTCTAGCCAGGCTCTGGTATAGCAATAGCAATAGATTTATATACTGCTTCACGGTGCTTTAGGGCCCCCTCTAAGTGGTTTACAGAGTCAGTATATTGTCCCCAACAATCTGGGCCCTCATTTTACTGACCTGGGAAGGGTGGAAGGCTGAGTCAACCTTGAGCTGGTCAGGATCGAACTGCTGGCAGCTGGCAGTCAGCAGAAGTAGCCTGCAGTACTGCAATATAACCAGTGCACCACCACAGCTTTCACTATATTATATTATATTTTACTTTACTATATGACTATATTAGGACAGGGGCATGAATTCAGCTTACACAATTCTCTGAAAACCTCCTCCATGTGATCAGAGATACGCACATTTATTTACGCAAGTGGAAATACTTGGCTGAAGCTTTTCCAATGGAAAGGTCAATCCAGGCTCTCATAAACTCTTTCGGTTACAAGAATATTGAGAACAAGGAAATTGAATGGGCAAGGCTGAAATTCCAATCTGAATCCACCCAATGCTTAATCAGTGTTGCGTTACAGAGATTTTGTAATACAAAGGCATAAAGTGCAGCTAAAATTTAAGGTCAGGAAGAAAGAAGAATTAAATCCATTACAACTGTTATCCATCACAAGGCAAAGAATGATGTTCAAGATAAGGATGTTCAGAAAATGTTTTCAAATAAACCCATGCTCCAATCTGGACAATCTAGGACTATCCAACCCATTTGTAATTCCAGCACACCAGTCACAACTTAGCATCTCATCCATGCAGAGTAAATCATTCTGAATGTGATATAGTTATATAAAATCCCACCATAGTTAGTTCAGATTTTGATTCAGGAATAGTGGGATTTTAGCCAAGACATACAGATTTCTTTTGCTATGTGGATTGTATTCTAATATACTTTCTTTGCATCATAAATACTAAGGGTCCCATATGAAGCTGTGTTGGATTGGATCATCAGAACTATCTGTAAACCATCAAAACTACCGCGTTTCTCATATAATAAGGCCAGGTCTTATTTTTTTTTGAGCCCCGAAAAAATGGCTAGGCCATCTTTTCGGGGGTGACTTAATTTCCCCCCCCCCTTGCATCTTCGGGCAGGTGGGCGGCGATGGCTTGGATGTTGACCTTGGCGTTGGTGGGGCACTTCATATTGGGGTCAACGCAGGCAGCAACATATCCCGGTGTGCAACAAAAGTACTTCCTAACGGCAAGCCGCCCCACCATTACCTCCATTTTGCATGTTTTAATATAGGCCTTAATTTGGGGGGAGGGGCTTAATTTCATTTCATGCCTATAAAACATGCTGGGACTTCCTATTGGGGGAGGCCGTATTGTTGGAGAAACAGGGTAGCTATATAATAGTTTTGGACCAATGCCCAATATTTAATCAGGCAGGATGTCCAGTTGGAATAGCCCATCCCTTTATCTTGGGGATGACATGAAATGTTTTCCCTTCCCTTATCCTCTATATATGGCATAAAATGAAAATGTTATTACAGACCCGGAGTCATTGATTGCTTTGTTCTGCTTGAACTTTTTGAGAGCTTGGGCAAGATGACTTTAAAACCAGCCAGCTGTGCCTTATTCAATAAAACATGGGTGAGGCATAATGAATGTAATCTTATTAAGTAAATGCATACAAAAATGCTCAAGCAGCAGACAGCCAAGAGAGGGAACGCTAAGTTGGCAGTCTTGTTTTAGCTTTCTCTGCTATGGTCCTTCAAGTCAATCTTGACCTCCAGCAATATTTCAGAAGTAAGTTGACCATTAGCATTTTCCAGGATGTTTTCTGACATCCCAGATTACAGCTAAGAGAGTGTGTCTGCCCTAAAATTACCCAGCCGGCTTTTGTGTCTAATGAAGAACTAGAACTCAGGGCTAAAAAGAGTCATGGTGGTGCAGTGGTTAGAATGCAGTATTGCAGGCTAATTCTGCCTACTGCGAGCAGTTCGATTCTCACCAACTCAAGGTTGAGTTCAGCCTTCCATCTTTCTAAGGTCGGTAAAATGAGGACCCATATTGTTGGAAGCAATATGCTGATTCTGTAAACCTGTTAAGAGAGGGCTGTAAAGCACTGTGAAGCAATATATAAGTCTAAGTACCAGTGCTATTTTAGTCCAGCAGTTTAAGCGCTACACCAAGCTGACTCTCTTCTTTTTATTGTCCATTGTGAGAGAATTGGGAAAACTAAAGTTAGAGAGAGTTTTCTATAGTTTTCTCAATTCTCCTCCCGAGAACAAGTACTTCTATACTAAGTTATGGCTGAATCTTATATAGCTTCAATTAAATTCAGTTAAAGGTTTGCTTATGGATTGAGATCAGCACACACTAGGATATTCTTCTCCCTTCTGGAATAGAATAGAATAGAATAGAATAGAATAGAATAGAATAGAATAGA